TTTTTAATTAACAAATGAAAATTCATGTTTATTTTGTACAATGTCATGTTTTAATCTATGCACATTTTTTGGATAGGCTAACTCAACCTATGTAGCATGCATTACCTTCATACTTAACTTTTTTGTGGTACGAACACTTAAAATCTACTCTCTTGTCAATTTTAAAGTGTATAACATATTGTTACTAATTATAATTATTGTGATGTACAACAGATCTCTTGAATTATTTCCTTCTACCCAAATAAAATTTTTTTGACTGACAAAAAATAAAAATATTTAAAAACAAATATGAACTTATTTTTTACATTATAAGATGATAGAACTGAAAAGACCTCAAGCAACTGGGAAATTATTACAAACAGGAAGAAGTTTTCATAGGATGATTGAATTCCAAATGAATGTGTAAGATCATGAGCTGTACTATATAAGAACAACTACTAACTATGAAAAAGAAAAGAAAAGAAAAGAATCTATCCATAACACCAACCATAATCAAACAAAAATTACTAGGAATAAGCATAAGTTGTGAGTTAGATCCACAAGAAAAAAATTTAAATATTTCAAAGATTTGAATATAAGAGAAAATGTAATCATTCTTAGATAAGAAATCCAAATACTTATAAGAATATCAACTCTTCATAAATTAATAAATTGTATTTCATCCTACTATAAGATAATAATAGAAAAACATTTAACTTTTTTTTTTTTCTGGTACCAGGAATCAAACTCAGGACCTTGTGCTTGCCATGCAGGCACAGCACCACTGAGCTAAATCCCCAGCCCCCAAAATATTTAATTAACTTAAAATCTGTGTTGTAAAACTCTGAGTTTAGCCGTGAATAGTGGCCCATACCTGTAATCCCAGCATTCGGGAGGGAGGCTGAGGCAGGAGGATCACTGCAAGTTCAAGGCCAGCCTTGGCTACATAGTGAGTTCAAGATCAGCCTGAACTCCTGAACTGTATAGTGAGACCCTGCCAAAAAAAAAAAAAAAAAAAAAATTCTGAGTGTAGCTAGAATTACTCTAGAAAGGAAATACAAGGAGATTAAGTGGTAAAAAATTTTATAACAAAAATAATTTAGATAATGTGACACACAGGAAAAGCCACTTTAAAAGAAGAAAATATAGATACCAAAGATATAAAACCCCACATAATTGAATTGTTAATATGATAGAGGAGGCATTAAATATAAGTGAGAAGAAGATAGATTCTTTAGCAAGTGAGGTGTTGATAACTTGATAACATTCTGGATAAAAGAAGTCCAGTTGTTTTGCTCCAAAAGTTCCAGATAAATCTAGAATTGAAATAAAAAACAAGAAATTATAAAAACACTAGAAGAAAAACATGGATAAATTCTTTAATGTTGACAAGCAAAAAGTTTTCTAAGCCAAAAATATTTGACAACTTTGTATTTGAAAATCACAAAAATTAAGAAAAACCTTCAAAAGTCTAAGAGCTCATTTCTACAGAACTATAAGTCAAAGACAAAATAAATATTTATATAAAAAGTTAGGCAAAAGTCTTGATCAGACATACTTCAGAATGCTGCAATTTGAAACTGAGGACAAATATGTTTTGCCTATCACATTAACAAAGATCCAAGTTTGCTGAACATCATATGTGGAGGAAATGGGAAGTCTAATGCATTGCTACCTGGGGAGTATATTAATACACATTTGTTCATATTCATTTGAAAATAACTAATAAAATTCAAAATGCACTGCATTTTTACTCAACACTTCTATTTTTTTAATTTATCCTACACACAATCTTTTAAATGTACATAAAGACATATGCTATTAAAGCATTGCTTGAGAAAGCAAAATGTTTTAAAACAACATAAATGTACCTAACTAAATATTTGTTATGTAAGTCTGCCTGTGCCATAAATCTCTAATATATTTTAAAATCACTTTTATACATATTAAAATGGATAATTTCTGAAATACAAGAAAGATAGAGAAAAGTGTCTGCATTATGCTACTGTGTGTATATATTATGAGGCTTCTAAAATACGTGATTACTTGGTTGAGGCACAGTGTGTCTATAGAAGGGTGTTCAATAAACTGGACAAAACAAAAGCCAAGAATAGTAGGACAAGATTGGGAGAAAATGTAATTCTCACTACTGTACATTATTTGTAGTTTTAAAACTGTGCACCATGAAGATTGAATAAATAAGTTTGAAGTCTTTGGAAATGTTGTAGGTAGCTAATTCACAAAATCAATATGTAAAACAAATTTTATAGCAATAAAAGCTGACAATATTACAAATTCTGTTATTAGCATTGTATTGCTAAAGAACTGCTTAACATAAATTCTAAACAGGTGTGTAGATGAAATAAAAAAACTTGAAAAAAATGTTTAAGAAATTTAAAAAAATTTATTAGACACAATTACATGTCAAGCAATGGGAATGGAAAAACAAAGAATAAAACTACCCTCAAGTCTGTTCAAATTTAATAGAACAAATGAAACCTAACTAACAAGAAAGCCAAAGAAAATTAATGGACAGCAATGATTAACATGACTTGGAGGTGGCTCCAGTAACACTAAAAGATAGCGGTGGAGGACTCTTCCAGAGAATAAGGCCTGACTCTGACTTTCAAGAGCTTAATAACTACGTTATAAAGAACTAGCTCTCCAATAGTTTTCTGCCCCCCACAACTGCCCACACAGTTTCAGTTAGATGGAAGGATCCTACCCATATAGCCAGCAACTCAGCCACAGGGACTATACAAACCTGAACTGCGAGGTTACAGAAGTGGAAAGGAGTTTTAGACATAGTGTACAAAGTGCTTTACTAAACATGTGTAATTACAAAAACATATGTCTTTACAGCTCCCAAAGATTAAAGAAAGTAACAACTGACAAAAACCCTTCTGAAATGTAATCCCCATCAGGATAAAGTTCCACACCATTTTAGATAATTTGCATGCAAAATCAGCCCCAAGATTTGTAACTTAGTAAATCAAAAATAACCTCTAAAATTTTCCAAATGTACTTTTTTTGCTACATTCTACAATGATTTACACATTCCATTTACTACATATATTTTGCAGTCTTAAAATTTGATAAAACCTTCCACTTTAATTTAAAATTTATATTATAAGGAGATATGATCAATAGTATAAGACTTGAAGATCTTTTTCAAAAACTTAAAAAGATCCAAATATGACTACATCCAATGTGCAAATCATAGATGAGCAAACTATGGCCTGAGCCCATGGACTGATTTCATAATTTTTTTGGATATGTATGACAACTATCATTTGCTTACATATTGTCTGTGTGTGTGATCAGACTGTTAACAGCTACGTGCCATGGTTTTGATAGAGATCATATGACCTACAGACTAAAATATTTACTGTCTGGCCCTTTAGGAAAAAGTTTGTTGGCCCCTGATTGAATCATGGAAGTAGAGTCCAAATATTCAGAGAAAGTTTCTTAACTCTGTAATTGTGTCAGTAATTAAGGTTCTCGGTCAGATGAAAGCATGTACTTTGAAGCTTGGGCTATGTTCTTGAGTCTACTATACCTTAGAATCATTTCTTATTCTCTTGATGGCTATTTTCTCATCTGTCATATGAAGATAATATACACAGTGCAAAACAATTATGAGACTAGAGAGAGATGCTATTTATAATAATCAAGGAGCAATGTAAAGGAGCCAATAGATGAGAGTCAGGACCTCAAAGGGCATATCTAGTCATGTGTTTGATTATTTAACAGTCTTAAGATAACCATTTTTATAGCACAATTTGGGAGTTAAGGGGTTATAGCAGGCCCAGCCAAGTGATTCTGTTGTCCCATGTGTTATTGACTGGATGTGCTGGTTTGGACTCTCCTGTGACTTGGCAAGGTGGCTAAAAAGGCTAGCTCAGCTACTATACCCATCATCTGAAGGACCTACATATGTCCTTTCAAGTGTGGTAGCCCTGGTGAGGGGGCCCCATTACAGGGCAGCTCAGGGCTCCACAGAGAGTGTCCCCAAGGGACAAAGACAGCAGCAACAGGACTCCTATGACCTAGCCTTGTGGGTCACCTAGAGTCACTTACAACATACTCTGTTAATCAAGCACATCTCTGAGACCAGACTCTACCTCTCAGTGGCAAGAGTTGCAGAAAATTTGCAGCCATCACTGATCTGTCCTTGTCTACTCCACATATACAAAACAATTTCACAAAAATTAACCACCAAAGCAACAAGAATTGAATCCAGCTTAAGATTTGGGGAATTTAGAATTGCGTGAAAATTAATTGTATTAACTCACTCTTTTTCCAATTGTTTTGGTGGCATTTTCACATACCTGTCCATCCTAAACAATTAAGCAGCTAGACTTTTCAGTAATTCTATTTTTATTTTGTAGGACATATTAGATGCTGAGCCACCATTCTTATAAAATGAACAAAAGGAAATTAGTTTCTTCTTCCATGAAATAAATTCAATGTTTCCAAAAATATGAGTATAATAGCCACATTTGAGAAGTATTTTGACCATTTGGGGTGGAAAGGGATAATCTTTCTTAGTCATATATTATCTTTGTTCTTTCCTTCTATATAAATGCAGTTTGTATTTACATTTTTAAATCTATCTTTACTCCAGATGTATTTGGGGGAGAGAATGATGGTGAAAAATTCAATGTTATTTTCCAGATCCAAGTGGGTGGTTCAACCGAGAAACACAATGAGACTACATTGAAAAAGTGAAGTGCAATCAGGTCTCATGTGCTGACCAGATGCTAGATCCAAAATAGGCACAAGAGTCCCAGAGCACAGCTGGTGCAAAAGCTCTGTGAACAACTAGTGGCTTCAGGTTTGGTGGCTTCCTCAAAACAGTGGAAACTTCAGAGCTGCGATGGGAGGCAAGCTTTGAAGTTTCTATGTGAGAAAAAATATAATTATCAAAGTGGAAAAGTAGCTGAAACCGATTTTGGAAACTCTCTTTTTATGCAAGCATATAAGAAATGGCCTTTGTAAAATATATATGTTTTTGTTTGTTTGTTTGTTTGCTTGTTTGTTTTTTGTGACAGTGGGGACTGAACCAGAGGGCACTGGGCTAAGTCTTTAGTCCTTTTATTTTGAGCAGGGTCTTGCTAAATTAATTGTCCAGGCTGACCTCAAACTTTTGATTCTCCTGTTTCAGCCTCCTGAGTAACTGGGATTTGCAGGTGTGTGCAAGCATGACCTTGCTTTTCTTTTTTATATATCATTCTCTGATACACAAAAGAGTGAGCTTATGAATAATGCTTATTGTATTTATGTCCCTTTAATGGCCACAGCTGGGTAGCAGAGTGAGAGAATAGTCAGTAGAATCGTCTTAGACCACTAGCCTGAAACCAGGCTCATTTCTTTTAACCACTAAGGTTTTATTTGATGGGCAAACCAGCTCATCTAGGGCTACTATTAGATTAGCAGCACTGTCTTCATTTCAAACAATGCCAAAATTAAAAAGGGGGTGGGTACTGGGGATGTAGCTCAGTGTGAAGGCCCTGGGTTCAATGCCAAGTACCAGAAAAAAATTGCTTCCTAAAAGAACATTATATAACCAAGTTAGCAATTAACACTTTTAAGATTAAATAAAGCAAATTTATTTATCTGCTTATTGCTTTAGGAGTCTGACCCACTTAAGAAAACTTGTACGCCATAAGACCCACTACAGCATTCACAATTATTTAATATTGCTATTTTAAATTTTAAACCACAAAGTTGAGAGTTATCATTTAAAGCATAATAAAAATTGAAAATCAAATCAAATTTTGCTCATCTATATGCATTATTTAATCAGAAAAGTTTTAGTCCTGAGGTTGTTCATCTCAGTGGAAAAATCTAAACGTGACACAATGTGTACCCTTGTATTAGAGATCATTCAGGAGACACTAAATGTACAGGCATGAAGTCTTGGCTTCCGAGAAAGGAATTCTCATGCAAGAATCTTGTCTGTTATATATTGCAGGTCACAAAATGCTTGTACATGATCGCCTCATTTGGCCTCACAAGTCTCTAAGTATTACTTTTTCTCTGCTATTGTTAAGGAAACTGAAGGCCTAAAAAAGAGAAGGATTTTTTTTCTTTACCCCAAACACTGACCAGTCCAGATCTGAGAGAGTACTCTGAACTCACTCCCCACCCCACCCTCTGCACAATCCCCAGCATTGTCTTTTCTGGTCATGATTCTCTTCCTGTTTATACAACACCTTTGTTTGTTTAAACACTGCTTCTTTGTCTTGACTGAGGCTTTTAACCACAAAGACTTCAGCCTGCACTTCTGGCACATGTCATAATATCCCACATCACTTCATTCATATCTGTAGTGCACTATGGCATTTGATTATTTCTCCCTTTCCTTCTCTAACATTTCAGCCCCAAGTGCCACATGACTAGCTCTAGTGCAGGAGCTGTGCCTCTCCCTTTGGTTCCCCAGGGCCCAGCACACTTCTGTACACAGGGTAGGACACAGTTTACCATTCAGATGAACAGTCAAATTTTCTATTCTTGAGCCCATGGCCTGGGTTTCATTCCTCTGCTTGAAAGGCCCCTGAGGTCCTCCTTTCAAGTACTGATTATCCTTAAGTCTCAGCTCATGTCACTTCCTTTGTGAGGCTGTCCTGAGTGATCAGGCCATCCTTAGTCAGTGTCCCCCAGCATTTGTCACACTCTATAGTGATTATTTACATCTGTCTACTCCATCAAACAATCTGGAAAATACAGTACATGCAATAATCAGTACCAGCCACAGTTTCAAATGCCTTTGCATTATCTAAGTGTTGATGGAAGGAATTCTTGAAGCTCCAATTAGATTGCAAACTCTTTTCCTAGGGAATAAGTGTTGGTAGATATCTGTGGTGTGAAAGCCAACTTTGGAAAAGATTAGCTGTAAGGCAGTAAAATCATCTCCAGTGAAATCTATTCATCACTGAAGAGGAAGAAGCTAATTACACAGTCTTTTGCAAAAGCACCCAAACATTTTCAGATAAAGTTGGTACATTTATTTGCTTTTCTGTCATAAACAAATTATTATATTCACAACACACTTGGTGCAATCCTATTGGAAGAAAACTGAGAGTAAACAAAGATGTCATATCCATCATTTTTTATTGAGAAAATATATGAAAATATTCTCACAACTCTAAAATGAGCTGTGTGCTCCTAAAGATTTTATCTAACTTTTAAAATATATGGAATTTGGCTTTCTATATTCAACATAATGAAAAGTAATGAGCTGAATATAGACTATTATATGAAAGTGAATATGATGATCATTATTCATCTTGAACATTAGAATCTATTTTAATTACATCTTAGTAAATGTAGCCCATTTTAATGATAGGTTAGTGGATTTAATGATGCTAAAAAGAATTTAGAGATCTTGATCTGGAATGGCAATATTACATACACATGACCAAATTTATGCAGAAATAAACAGATGAATGGGAGCCCAAACTACATTATCAGGACCATATAGGAAACTAGTTAACTATACAGATGCTCTGGCCTAGCTTCTGAGACCTTAAATCAGTATCTGCACTTTTAAAACAGTGATATTGATTCACTCCAAAAATTGGGAACCAGTGGAGTAGAAGGATACACTCACTGGTGGGCAGAAGGGAGGTCCTACTGGCTTGGAAAAGTTGATGATGTCAATCTCTTCCCAACTCTATTTGCAGTGTTGTCACATCAGGGACACATGGAGTCAAGATGGTAGTATTTACACTACAAGAATTGGCAAATGGTAATGGCTAAACACTAAATGTAATTACTAACACTCCATACCTAAGACCTCAGAGCCTCACTCTCTCACAATCACAGTAAGCTTTGAATAAGTTTTGTTTCTGCTGAAGTTCTTCTGCTGAAGTTTTCTTTCATGGGAAGGAGCACAGTAGAAACTCAACTTTCCCAAGATGTCAGACTCAGCACTGTCCCTTCCTGAGGGGAAAATTAAAAAGGCTTAAAGAAATGAGTTAACAGTCATTTAGAAATCAAGGATGAAATTACTAAGAATTTAAGGCCAGATTTCACTCTGAATAGGGTGAATCCAGCAGAAGATGGAGTCAAGTAAGTAGTCCATAGATCTGCTTTGCCAATTTTTAAAATATTTAATTAGGTCTGGCAGCCCTGTTTTTCTTCCAGCTCCAAACCAACTCTGACTAAAATATGGGGATGAGGTGGAGACTATCCATAGCACACCCATCTGCCGTCCTGGACAAGTAGTATGCATTTATGCTCTCCTCTTCATCTGAAAGCAAACTAGAACTAGACAAAGGGAACTGGATTTAATAATTTATCAAATAACAAAGGACACTCAAACATTTGAATTTTGGAATGACTGGGGAGTGGTGATAGTCCCATGACTCTGAGACATATTCACACTCCAACAGTGTCCTGCTTTGAAGGGGAAAAAAATCATGCGACTTCACTCACTGATGCAAACAATGTGATAAAAGTTTCCCTAAAAAAGTGTGGCAGAGCAGACTAAATCTTGGTTCACAAGAGAAATACAAAGGATTAGTTCTTTCAAACAGTGAGAAGATACCAAAAATATTCTTATGGATGATCCTGCAATCCAAATGCAATGTGGAAACATGTATATCAATCATCTATGCCAGATCTCCTACTACACTTAAGATATAAACATTTATTTTCTCTAATTAAGGTGTTCCCATTACTAACTAAATAGGATTAGTGTACATCTCATAAAGAATAAAAAACTTTATAAATCAAGAAAAAATATTTTAACTGGATAATATATCCCAATTTGAGAACATTATCACCATGTTTATAGAATTTATGGTTATGTTCTCTTTATAGCTTAACTGGGCATCCAAAAGTAGCTTCTATAATTTAAATGTAAGGGTATAGACATGGAAGCTCCTTAGTTAGATGGAAGGCTCATTTTTCAGCTCCTCTTCTCCCCTAAATCAAACCCACTCCCCATATAAGTCTTAAATTCTATCAAACTAACAAAAGCAGGCAGCCCCAAATGTCATAAAGAAGGCTAATCAGTGCTTCTGGGTCCACTGGTTATATGTGGTACTAAATTAAGAAAGGAAAAAAAAAGAAAGAAAAGGATAAATAATAAAAGCATTGTGGAAAAAATGAAGTTTTCCTAAATATTTAACTTACTGCCATTATCCATAGATACCTATCCTCCCTTAATAAGAGTCATTAACTATAGGCATGGGTCTCTTAGAAGAGGGGATCTGAGAGCTGAGGTCTATACCCAGGGGTGAGCTTATTAGAAGGCATGGAGATGACCGCTCTCGGTGGTCTCTGCCTGAACTGTGCAATTAATGTGGTATTTAAATGACACAGATGACAAAGAATACCCTTTAGAAGAAATTGCCCTGTTACATTTGATTTTCCATGAGAAATCTTTTAGAATATTTTCCTGCTTTCCCTCTCCAGTGGACAGTTTGTGGCAATATCAGACCCCAATATCCATTGAATCAAATTTGACTGCCCCCAGGGAACATATTTAATTCTCACATCCTAAAAGAAATATTATTGTTGAACTTAGACATTTAAAAGATTTATTTGGGCATAGGAAAAAAGATCAAGAAATAAAAAGTTATCTATTCCAATAATTTCAAAAGTATGTAATATTTTTAGAAAGTTTTTACAGCCTCCCGTTTAAAATAATATCACACTGGAGTCTAATAAAAGCCCTGAGATATTTTGCAGTGAAAACAAACATTCTTGGATTAGTTTTTATTCCAAAATTTCTAAAACTTTTTATTGGCAGGACCCTATTTACATTGTACCTCTGTCTTAGCTCTGATTACTCTATCATAGAAGATCAACTAATAAGTATTTATTTCTCATTATTTTGGAGACTGGACGTTCAGTATTAGGGTTGCCGTATAGTGGGGTTCTGGTGAGGGCCTGCTTCCAAGCTTCAGTCTTCTCATATCCTTCTCATATCATAGTAGGATTTAAGACCTCTCTGAGGTCTCTGGAATACAGAAAT